GCCTTTCGTTAACGAGAACTAGAACTATTACTATAATTATTTAGACAACTCTCGATATCTCGAACCTCCAAGAGACCGATTAATTAGTTCGAGATGTATGTTCGAGTTATCGAGAGTATAATCCATAAATAAGGGTTAGACTGAATTCAAAAAAGTTCGAGATATCAAGTATTCAAGATATCGAGAGTTGATTGTATGTGATATTGTCGTGCACGAAAAAAGAGCAAAAATTGAAGCCTTTTGTTAACGAGAACTATAATTATTTTCTAAACGAAAATATCAACACTAAACAGTATTTTTAATTTTAGTTCGATTCCCTTAACTTTTTAACGGTCATTATTAGGTCTTGGTGGTGAGGTTGTTTGGTAAAATTAGCTTCTGCCTAATTTTATTTATATGCTAATAAAAAATAATTAATAGTTTAGGTCTTTACTTGATCTAAAAACTAATAAAATAAAAAAAGACACTTTACCGGGGAAAAAAAGACAGAGTCCATAAAAAACCTCACTTGAAAAAAGAAAGTCTATAACGTAAATTATTATATTTAAATTAGAAATATAACTTTAATTGCATAAAAAATTAGTTTTTTTTTGTAATATATCTTAAAAATTTTAATCCTTTCCCTAAAAATAAAAAATTTATATAGGTTTAAAAGTTTAAAAATGAGTTATCGCAAAATGAAAAAATGTGACCCTGCCGTTTCTTCCCTTGGAGTCTTCATATTTTAAAAGCCCTTATGCCAATTCGCAATTATGTCAATTTTTTCAAAATCTTTTAACGCACTTATGCCAATTCGCACATATGCCAGTTTGCACTTATGCCAATTTTTACAACGCTTTGCACTTATGCCAGTTTGCACTTATACCAATTCGCGCTTATTCAGCCTCGCGAAATAGTTGTATAAAACATCAACTAAGATTAATCTTGCATGCATATAATTAGAAATATGTTACAAAGGTCATGTATGTTTATTAGAAAAAGATAAAAAGAGTTCTTTTTAATTTTCTCTAAATGGGTTTCGAACAAATCCGCTCTCTTAATAGGGCGGATTGCCTCAAAGTTTTTAAGCCATTTAAGCCAATTCGTCCAATTGTTTTTGTAACCATTGATGGTTTAATTCCGGTAATTCGCTGTGACCTGGTTTTTAAAATACTGTGCAAATTTAATTGACAAACACGTTTTCGCTTATCCGTAATCATTACAAGAAGAGTATTTTCATGCTGAGTAAAATAATTATTTTGTTTTATAACAGAATTGATAATGTCTTTTAGTTCAGAAGACAAATAACACGACAGATTATTTGTTTTCCTCAAGTGCCTAGATCCATGATTACAAGAATGTTTAAACTTAATGCGAAACCACATTAGAGCTAAAACAAAAATAAAATAGGTCAAGGATATATTATATAAAATAAATGTCTAACTTGCGGGATGTTAATGTATGAAAAATAAAGCCGTGTGTATTTGTTTAATTTGTAAAAAGGTCAAAAGCCAAAGCCGATGTGTGAAATAAAAGTTAAAAATAAAAGTTTAGAGCATCAAAAATTTTAAATAAGTTAATGATAATTCAAAAACACGTTTTAATAATTATAAAATACTTATAAAATTTTTTATATAAGTCTAGGTTTATTAAAAAATATATAATTCATGAAATGCTTCTAAGGCGTCGGTCGTTTCACTTTTCTATTCAAAACTTTAATCCCTTTCTAAACGGAAATGAATCTAGGAAACATAAACTATTATTTTACAAGTACTTTAATTTCCTCTTATTAATTTCATATTAATAGTATTTAAAATATATTTACTACATTTATGAAAAGAAAAGTGAAATAATATTTGTTCACAAATTTAATCCGCCATTTGTAAAAAGGGCAAAAGCGGCTTCCTTTTTTAGATCGAAGTTAGACCTCTAGTTTGTTTAATATATTATTAATAAAGGTAGAGAAAGTTCTTAGCTGCTCTAACAGCTCTAAAATAGACACGTACAAACGAAGCATACGATTTGCCATTGTTAGCCACCTTGAATGATTTAGAGCTCCTGGGAGCCGTCGCACTAATGTCGACGAGCATTTCAAAACAAATTACAGTCAATTGTTGATATGTAGATAATGCTGTACTTACAGGTCAAGAAAATCCACGAGGACCGGTTGTCGGACTATCAATGTATTAGAATAAATGGCGCAGTGGCAATTTACTTAACAAAACTTATTTCGCGCAAAAGTAATCTATAATACTTTGTTTGATTTTTACTGCTATCCCATTAGATGGTGATACATGGTCGATGTACAAAGAACCAGGCTCTTTTATCAACGATACGAGTTCTGTGGTATTTGTTTGTTGTTAATATTTTTGCAAATTAGGTATTTTTTTATATATTCACTGAAATTTTATCCTTGCATCCATCAAAACAAAAGCATCGCACATCATTTAACATGTCTTGTGCTTGTGTTATTTCATATCATATTACAGGCCCAAAGTCTTCCAAAACTGCTGATGCTAGGGCAGCGGCTAATCTGTTATAGAGTCCACGCCTGTTGCATACTCTTGCCAATACTAGCATGCATGTCGTAGTACTGGTGACTGTAGCCCAGAGGATTTAAAAACTGCAATGTGCGGATTTATTATTATCAGCTTCACTTTTAGAAATTTTGCCTAATTTGCTTTCATCGTCAGTTGCAGAACTCTCACCATTAAATAACGTCGTCAGTTCCAGAACTCTCACTGTTAAATAACATCGTCAGTTCAAGAACTCTCATTATTAAATAACATCGTCAGTTCCACATCTCTCACCATTAAATAACATTGTCACCACATTTCTCACCATTAAATATTGAAATGCTTGTATAACTAGAATTGGATATTCTTTAGTTTTCAGTTCTTAAAACTTTATTAGTTTTCTTATTCTTGTCTGAAGTTTTTTTTATTGACACTTTGTCTTATGTACTAATAAATATTAAGCGGTTCGGTCGCTGGTCAATTAGAAATTCTTGTTCCTTACGTACATTACAGCAACTGCATTCTTCCAAAGAGCACTTGAATGATGCAATATCGTAAAATTTTAATTTGCATTTGTTTCTGAAGCATCAAAGTTCTAATACCATTTAAAACCAAAATGTTATTTTCATAATGTTGATTCTTGAATCAGTTTCCAATGTTAGACGTGGTAATTTTTAATTAATTTTATAACTCTCATTTGTGATATCACTAGAGTAGACGATTTCAACCAAATTTTTTTAATGTTTGAAAAAACCTTCCGCCATTTCTGAAACAGTACTGTTTTTGGTATGAAAGTTTGGTTTCAACTCATGTCTAACGATCTCAGATAGTTCTTGTAACAAACCAAAAAATTGGACACATCAACTTTTTTCTCGTTTATGAGTTTGCAAGTTCATTTTAGGCCATCGCTTAAGAACTCACATGTTAATAGGTAAAGAGAAAATGTGCCTCTTTTAAAGCCATATACCATGTATAGTATTAAATAATAAAACCATATTATATATAGTATCTTACAAATACATATAACTTTTTTAAACATTAATAGTTGCGAACTAATTTTATAACCACATAATGGAACACAAATGTCGTATTATTATATAGGCTTCGTTGTTTCAATAAAATAATTACTGCAAGTACGTATAACTCAATAACACGCCTACAGAATACTTATTAACAGTTTGCAAAAATTCCAAAATATTCCGAAAATTAAAAATTTTTAAAAATTAAGGTGGCTCATATAGAAAAACATACATTATTAAAAAAAAAAATTCTAATTTTTTTTTAATATAGAATTCGATGCAAAATTAATCATACTTTTCAAAAATATATACATTTTGCATAAAATATTTATTACTATTACCTTACTTTAACTATTTTATTGGTCAGTTTCATTGTTTTGCTAATAATTTCTATTTATCGGGAAACTTTGGTTGTTGTTTTCTCAACTTTTTAATTTTATTCTTTTTTTTTTTTTTGGCAACTTCAAAATATGATATCTCGAGACTAAGAAAAGCTTTTTGGCTGAAATTTTCAGTGTATGTTCCTTAATCATCCAGATTTCAGATGTACTACAATAATTAACTAAGAATAGTTTTATCAGTTTTTATAACACAACACATGTTTTTTTTTAATGTATAAATTTGTGATTTTTTTAAGTATTGTGTCTTGTTTTTTGATATTTTAATTATTTTTTAGTAGAAATGAATGATAATAATGCAATGAAGCTATAAACAAAAAGTCATTGAGTTTAAATCAAAATTAATCAAGACGTATTGTTTTGAATTTTGCCAAATTTACGTTTATTTGTTCAATGCACGCTCTGCTGCGCTAAGCCTTTAATAAATTAGTCGATAGAAGCAAAAATGATTGAAAAATTAGTAAAACAAATAAAATAATAAAACAAATAAAATAATAAAACAAATTAAATAATAAAACAAATTAAATAATAAAACAAAAAATAAACAAAAAATATTTTAAATTAAAAAAAACAAAAGCATTCTAGTCTATTAAGTTTGCGTTTTTGCGCTTTTTTATAAAACAATAAAATTTAATTAGTTTCCTCGATTATATTAATGGTTTTTACATAATGAACATAAGTATACATTAAACCAAAGTGTATAATTTTACTAAATTGTTACACGTTAGCGTTAGTTGTTAGTATAGGTTTATATATATATATATATATATATATATATATATATATATATATATATATATATATATATATATATATATATATATATATATATATATATATATATAATTGTCTGATATAAATATATATATATCTGGTATATATATATATATATATATATATATATATATATATATATATATATATATATATTGTCTGATATAAATATATATATGATATAAATATATATATATATATATAATATATATATATATATATATATATATATATATATATATATATATATATATATATATATATATATATATATATATATATATATATATATATATTGTCTGATATAAAACAAGATTTAAGTGACAACAGATTAACAAAATATCAAAAAACATTGAAATTGTATTTCTTCAATTGATTATTGAGCATGCGCGATTTGTAATCAAAGCTAGTTAACGATTTACGTTATTACGTAATTGAACGAGTTTTTTTTAACGACGAGAAAAGTTAGCAAATTTCCAAGAAAAAGTCTGATGCTTCTTTCAAAATCTGTTAACAAATTTTTTGAAGTAATACATATCGCTCAAAACAAAAAAAAATTAGTTTATATTGTCTTAAGACTTATATCTAATGCTGTACTTTTAACATTAACTAAGTGTCTAAAAAAATGTCTTGTAAGAAAGCTATTAGTAATGGATCGTGGCTTTTGGCAGAAAAAACCTCAAAGACTAAACTTCTTATGGAGAAACTTGAAAATAATTTTTTAAAAGATATTCAAAAGCTAAAGCACTCCAAAAATTACAGTGATATGGATGTTTTCATCGAAAAAGAAAATATGCGATTGCATCATAAATGTGTTTTACTCTGTTTGGCTCCTACTTTATACGAGTTTCTGTTTTTAAGTGAGAATGTTTTTAGCAAAATTTTTGATTTTCCAGAAAATGTTCCACAAATTGAGAGGAATTCTTTAAGAATTGTTTATAAACAAAATGAACAAGATGTCATTTGCACCAGTCATGAAGTGGATATAACATCGATTTTAAATTCTGCTGTACATTCAGATGTTGCATTTAAAATAAATAATGATATTTTACATTGCCATAGATGTATTTTATCTGTTCGTTGTGAGTACTTTGAGATAATGTTTAGTGGTCACTGGCGTGAAAAAGATCAAAATGTTATTCCTATAAATGGAATGTCAATGTCGACACTTTGTACTGTTATTGAGTTTTTATACAATCCCAAAATAAAACTTTCAGAAGATATGAATTTATTAGAAATAGCGTCTGCTGCTGACATGTATATGCTTCTTGGATTAAAAGAGTTAGTACAATTTTATTTGGAGCTTCACTATTGTCATTTTTTTCATCAGCCATGCAACATTTGCATAAAACAAATTTCCCATGCCATTTTTATATCTGAGCAATATGGCTATACAGATCTCTCTGTTAAATGTTATAACTGGCTTGCTAAGCATTATGCTGTTGTGTTTGCAAATAGAGATTTTAATAGCTGTAGACAAGATTATAAAGAATTAATTATTGATAAAATAAAGCTTTCTGTTTCTTCTGTTAATGTTTTGCAACATCTCAAATTTTGCAGCAAACTAATTAAAACTTTGCCATCTACAAACTGGGCTAATAAAACACAAGACTTAATCTCTGAATTAAATTCTTTTTGTTTAAAGTTTGTTTGTGACAATTTTGAAAAAATTTCCAAACATCCATCCTTTATACTTGTGTGTTATGATAAAAAGAATTTCATATGGATGGATATGGCACAAGATTTTATTGTAACAGCCATTAAAACATACATAAGCATAGAAAATTGTGTGAATGTTCATTTTGGATTAGTTCAAATAAATAACATTTTAAATGTATTAAAGAGAAACAATGAATGTGAAGGTGAAGAGCATTGTAATTCTTTTTTATCTAAACTTGATGATGTATTCAAACATTTTATTACAAAAAACTTTCATGGAATTTGCAGAGCTTCATATTGGAAAACTTTAAGCAAAGAAACACAAAAATTGTTCAAAGAAAATTCTGGTTTTTTAGTTTCATAAAAATTAGCAAGTAATGTAAATACACAAGCATGTACAAAAATTAGGTTAATTTATTGCATATTTTTTGTTCTATTCAAAAGATTTTTTTTATTATCAAAGTTTGGCTTCATTCAAAAGATTTAATTTGTACTATAATTTGTACTAATAAATAATTAACACTTTTTACAAAAATAACATTTAATTTTAATTTTTTTTTATAATATAGTACATATATTTTCATTTGTTTTATGACAAGTTTTACTTTA